GTAATATCAATCATGGCATGGACCATGACACCGTCGTTCCACACCTCCCAATGGTCAGAGGCGTGTACAATAGCCATGTAATGGCCAGGCCCATGCACAATGCAGGCAGAGATGCGGGATGGAGGATTAAACAGCTCACCTGGTAGAGCATGGCGTAGTTCAAGATGGCGGTTCCTCATCGCTATTTCTAGGACAGCAATGGTAAAACCTCCTTCCCTGGTGTAATTACAATGCTCTGGCTGTAGGTCGGGAAGATCAGCGAGATTAGCGAGATCAACATCAAGCTGCAGGGCAATTGCAAGGAAATCTGATGGTGTATACAACGGCCGATTGAGAACGTGAAGGCAGCTATTAGTTGCAGTCAGACCACAGAGATTGGCGGGGATCTCAGGCTGGTTTTGTTGGTCAGTCATTTGTAGATCACCCGTGGGGTCTGCGCAGGGTGGTGCACAAGTATGCGGTTCATGCATATGATCCTGGTCAGCCATTTGCAAATCCCTCGTGGGGTCTACGTCATGCGGGATTAAATGCAGTCCAAGCAGATCATGTTCCAGTCCCTCAGCGTTCGGGGCCACAYAGGRWGGGGCACAAGTAMKCGGTTCATCCATATGATCCTGGTCAGCCATTTGCAAATCTCCCGTGWGGTCTATGCCTTGCGGRGTTAAATGCAGTCCGAGCTGATCATGTCCCAGGCCCTCAGCGTTCGGGGCCACATCGTGAGTAGGGACTTTCGTTGGGAGTGTACTCTGGGCAGGGACCATATCCTGTTGCACAGCTGGGGGACAAACGAACATATAAGGGCATAAGACATGGTGCTGTGGCTGTGTGCAAGCAGCTGGACTGTCTGCAGGAGGCGTAGGAGCGGATGTATCCGTTTGGGACAACGGRACCGCAACAACCCGTGGAGGAGGCACAGAGAGAATTGGGGTAGACAAAGAAGCAGGCCGCTGATCCCTGGCCAAGTGGCGATGTTGTGCATGTCCTCGACGATGTTACACAATAAGAGGAGTGGCGATGTTTCTAACAGAAGATGTCACTGGCAATGAAGGCGGAACAATGGGAAGAATAGAAACCGGAGAATCGGTTCTCAAACGAGACCGTGGAGGAGATGGGGGTGGCGAGGAGGACCGCCGCCGTCTGCGGCCAAGCACGGAAAGGGATGAAAGGGGGGTGGGTTCGGCAGGATGTCAGAACATAGGACACAAGTGTCGGGCTGGGGTAGAGGAAGCTATACCAGTAAAAACTATAGCATGAGAAATTCGAGGTACAGAAGCAGAGGAAGTGGTAAAAAGTGGAACCGCAGCAGAGACAATTGATGTAGTAGGAACCGCAGCAGAGGCAACTTCCGTAGCGGGGACCGCAGCGGAGGCAACTTCAGTAGCAGAAACTGCTGGAGTGAAACCCGGAGTTGAAACAGCAGCAGTGGAGACCACAGGGGCAGCAGCAGTAGAAACTGCAGCAGTGGAGACCACAACGGTGGAAGCGGCAGCGGTGGAAACGGCGGCGGTGGGAACCGCAACAGTGGGAACTGCATTAGCAGCAGATGAACAAGCAGTTACAGGACGAGCAGCGGAGGCAACTTCCG